GCCCCGCCCCTCGCCGAGGACCAGGCAGCGAAGCACTCGGGGCACATTTGGGGTATTTTGGGGCACTTTTGGGGCATCGCTGACCTCCATCGCCCCCCTCAACATCCCCCCCTCGGGGAAGAGCCCTCCCAACTCCACCTCCCCCCAAACAGCAGCTCCGCAGCAGGCAGAGAAACGAGAAAAAAGCACACACCTTTGAAAGCCCAAAAAATAAATAAAAGAAAATTTCCACGTTAATCCTTTATTATAGGGGGTGACTAATCGTTTTCAACATCTGCTGAGCACTTCTCGCTAAATACCAGCCGCGGAAGAGCTTGCCAGTTTCCCATACAAGTTATTTTAACGCTGTGATTCACCTTGATCAGTTTTCAGCAGTTTTACCAGCCCCGCACAGCATTTTCCATCGATTCCCTCAACTCGTGGGTGTTCGATGCTTCAGGACAGATGGAGCATTACACAATCCCCACAACCACCCCTGCCAGGGCTGGAGGCAAAGCCACCTTATGAGGGCTTTAATGAAGTTTAATGAACTTTCACAAGGCCAATCTCTTAATTTCTTCCTGGTTTTGAAAACTATGACGTGCAGAGCTATCAAAACCCAGGAGCATCCAGATGGATTTTAACAGAATCCTCCAGGTCCAACTATAGAGGTGACAGGTTGATGTTCCAGTGTCAGGTAAAAAAATAGGTTTGCATCTGCAGTACCATGTATGAGCCTTTGGTTGTATTTCTTTCTAAAACAAGTGGTAAAAAGTAACAAGTTCATTAGAAAATACTTTCTATTTCAGTATTCCGCCACAAAGTTGCTGCTCTCCAGCGTTTGCTGCGCCAAGGGAGGCTCCAGTGTTCTCCATCGCTCACCCAGAGCTGGCAGGTTCCTATTTTCCAACGGCGTCTGAAGGAGGTTCCTTTATCAGATCAGAAATCCACTTGTCGGGAGACTCATCCCACTTGGCAAAAGGAGCAAAACGAACGTGGAAACAAACATTTCTATTAAAACCATATGGTGGTGACGGAAGGCTCGACCGAGCAGCCACAGCAAAGGTTTCTGCTCCGTGCTCGCAGGAACGGAGCTTCCCCAGCAGGAAAAAGAGGAGCAACATCTCCATTCGAGCCGGGAGCTCCCAGGGAGCCTGCAGAAACTCATGGAAATTCCTCCCCCTCAAAGCTCACCAAGGGGCACGTGTCCAACACCTCATCCGAGGTGTTACGGGTTTATCAACAAAAGAAGAATTTCCCTAAGCCCCGTCTTTGTCCCCAAAAGCACCGTTTGTACTTGTGGAGGGAGGAGCGGTGTGGGCAGCGCTGCCCCATGTCCCCTGTGTCTCCCAGCAGATGGGTCACAGCTGGTCCCTTCTCCCTGGGACCCTCAGGAGGGTCTGTCACGGGCTGTGGAAATGCCCTCAGCCCCACGTGTCCCTCAGGAAGAGCCGTGGTGTGGGCTGAGGAAGGGAGGAGGCGCACGATTAAAGGGTTTTTCTTGGCGCTGGTCATGACAGATGCTCTCATACAAATTTAAGAACTCATTCTGTACAAAAAGAGGCGCCTGCTTTAACAGCTGCCCGGGGAATCCAGCTGTGCTCCTAAACCCAACGTACCAAATACAGAATTTTAGAGAGGGACATACCAAGGCAATCTCTTAAAACACCGTGCTTTCAGCGAGGCGAGGTTAAACATAAAAATACCCTCGCTAGAGTTATAAAATAAAGCTTGTAGCCATCGCTTTCTTTAATAATCCCAGCAGCAACTTGAAACCAGGGGTAAGGAGCGGGCAGGCCGTGCCAGTCTCCTTCCAGGAAAAGCTGCTGGGGCCGTCTCTGCAATTCCAGCTGGAGCCTTCTCCCTGCGGGCTCAGTTTCACGCTGCCCGAGACACCGGCCGTGAACCACGAGACCTCCCCGAGGAAGCCTAAAGCCCAGATTTGTACCAGCTCCAAGCAAATCCAGCACGAATATTTAGCCCAAAGGGCTGGGCTTAGAGGCTGAAGGAGCCGTGGCCACCCCGAGAAGGTGACAGAGGGCTCTGCAGCAGGAGGGTGTTTATGGAGCTCAGGTTCTCTGCAGCACCAAGCTCTTGTTTATGGTCTTTACCAAAATCCTACAAATAATAAGAGGTGGATTAGCCCTTTGGGGAAATCAGGAGATGAAAAATCACCGGTGGCTCGTTAGCTCCCAGCCAGCAGATACCACCTCCAGCGGCGGCAGTCGAAAAGGGAAGGTTATTCAGGTTATTTAGGTGACTCAGACTTGAGTACTCAAAGGAATCTCTACCCCTCAGAAATTTCAGCGAGTCCCGTATCACCCCCGGAATGTCTGGCTAATTAGAGCACATCTCTGAGAGACACATCCGATGCTGATGGCTATTTTGGGATCTCAAATTAGCTTTTGCAGACTCTAGGCTAAAATCTGAACATAGTAATGCTATGAGAGCGAGGAAGACATCCGATGCAGGGCATGTTTTCATAATACTTTTGGCATATACAGTTATTTTCAATATATTAAGATTTACATTCCTCCATAACATTCAAATATCTCTCATAAACACGCGAGACAAGCAATGCACAAGCAAGCTGGGTTACTCCAAAGGCAGCGCCACAAGATCCACTTCTATGGGTAAAAAACTGCACCATAATAGATGATCTCTATCAAATCTTTTCCACTTGATATAAAAGCTGTGCCTATTAAGAGAGAAATGGGAAAGATTGGTACATCACCGTATAAATTGATGTTCCAATTACATTGTAAATGAAGATGCATTCGATAAACAGGCCACAAATCCAGACGTGTTATGATTTCCCCTAGCAGAAAGCTACAGATCCAATTTTTGAGTCAAGGAATTGAGGGTAATCTCACTCCGTTGCAGCATTTCCACATATTACCATTTCCTTGTTTCTAATACTCCTAAGATAAGAGAAACTCGTTTGGTAGCTTTACAATTCCATATAAAATAAGACTTATGTCCTTCTATGTCCTACGCCCAGGGCTTTTCACGGTTGTCTTTTGAAGCCATTAGACTCCTTCAGCCTTCCGAGCGTCTATTTCTTTGTTCTTTTATTTATGGAGCTCAGACTTTTGAGTGATCTCCAGATTTGAGAGAAAGTGATTAGCTGTCCCCGAAGGAAACGCTTACGGCTGCTGCCTTTGGGCCTGGGGGGAGCCGTGTCCTTGCTCTCTAAGCAGGTCACTCTGCTGATTATCTCCCCAGCCAAGTTCCCGCTCGGTTTCAATGCACTTGTGTGCGTTTATTAAGGTATTTATTGGAAAATAAGCAAGTCGGTGGGGCTGTGGCAGCCACCAGAGGGAGTCTCCTCGCTGTGGGTGCTGACCGGCACCGGCACCCAAAGGTGCTGGGGGTCCATCACCCCTCCCCGAGGGCTCAGGGTGCAGCCCCACAGGGCTCCGAGCAAAACATGGCCAGGCAGGGGGGGCAGGACCACTGCCCGAGCCGTCTCTGGCAACGACATCGGACAAAAAGCCATAAAAAGATCAGGCAGATCACATTTCAGAGCCCAGGGATGGGGGCGTGGAAGGGGTAGAAGGGTCTGGCGGGGCAGCATCTGGTCTAAAATCCACAGACTGTAATTTCAATGCATTATGGAATCCCATCGGAATTCCTGCGGAGCCGTTCCTTGGGCTGCTCCGTTTATAGAGCGTGGGGTGACAATTAAACACCCCCTGCTGCTGAGAGCACTCTCCTGAGGGGCAGCACCTCAGTTGGGAACCAGCTCCAAGGGACACATCTCCTTAACACATCTGGGTGCCCCCTAGTTTCGTTGGGGTGGGGGTGTCCCTTCTTTTTTTTTTTTTTTAGAGTCCTCAACATCAGAAGGACACGGAGCTGTTGGAGCGGGGCCAGAGGAGGCCCCGGAGATGCTGGGAGGGCTGGAGCCCCTCTGCTGGGAGGACAGGCTGAGAGAGTTGGGGGGTTCAGCCTGGAGAAGAGAAGGCTCTGGGGAGACCTTAGAGCCCCTTCCAGTCCCTCAAGGGGCTCCAGGAAAGCTGGGGGGGACTCTTGATCAGGGAGGAGAGCCATAGGACGAGGGGGAAGGGTTTTAAACTGAAAGAGCGGAGATTTAGATGAGATATTTGGAAGAAATTCTTTGCTGTGAGGGTGGCAAGACCCTGGCCACAAAAAAGTAGTGGCTGCTCCATCCCTGGAGGGGTTCAAGGCCAGGTTGGATGGGGCTTGGAGCAACCTGGTCTGGTGGGAGGTGGCCCTCCTTGGTCTTTAAGGTCCCTTCCAACCCAAACCATTCTGTGATTCTATTCTGTGATTTCCCCCTCTCTCCTCAAATCCACTTAAACCTCCTTCTCTGCAGGATCACGGTGGGAGAGCTCGAGACAGGTACAAAGCGAAGCCTCCTCCACACCGTGACCTCTGCAGGAGCGTCCGTGGTGGAACTGCCCCTTGGCAGGAGTAATTTATTGGTGGGTACGGAAAGAATGGCTTCAATTTAGCAGCTCAGATGGTGCCGCCGCCCCCCACCCTTCCCACACAGAACAAGTTAACAGCTTGCCAGGGGCTGCGAAAATAAACAAACTTAAAAAACTCACCCACTTGGCGTTGCCCCGGTTCGTCGTCCCCCAAGTGATTCCCAGCGACCAGCTCTCGACTCCTGCAAATTGAAGACATTTGTGAGTCTCCTCGATGTAAGCACAAATCGAAATTCAAAAAAAAAAAAAAAAAAAAAAAAGAAAGGAAAAAAAAAAGAAAAAGAAAAAGAGAGAGATTCCTGCATGCAATTACACAGGAAGGAAAACATGCAAACTTAAGCTGAGCTTTGAACATTTCACAGTAAATATCAATACCGGGGTCTAAAAAGGGCCATCATTTTACATTTTTAAATAACTGAGCAGAATTTTTTTGGGTTTTTTTGGCAGTAGCAGGACTATCTATATTCGTTGTCGTTTTACATCTTCTGATATTTAAGCTTGCCGATTCCTTTTTGCCCACATTACATTACAGTGCATTTTCAAAGGGCACAGTATTAAAGTTATCGCTAATTTATGCAGAAGCATGTGGTTTGTTGTTTTTTTTAAATGTTTATTTTAAACATTTTTCTTTTTTTTTCATTTTTTTTTTACATTAAAATTAACATTTGATGAATTGTTTCAATAAAGTTTATGCAAGTTGCCGTCACAGTTTATGTAAAAGAGAAATGTGCTATTAAAATCAGACATTTAGGTTACCTTTTGGGTTTTGCGATGCATGTTAGCTTTACACATCCTGATTCTCCTGCGATAATTTTCCTTTAAAAGGGGGGGCATAGGGTGATCTTTTCATCAAGCAAGACATTATGCCCTGAAAGCTGACTCCAAACCAGTGTTGAAAATTCAGTTATTTGCACTTTAATAACAAATCTACAAATACAACTGTTTGATTTAAAGTATTCCCCTCGATCATGCACTGCTACCGGCAGTTTGGCTCCTAATGCTCTATTTTTCACCCCCGAGCAGTTTAATTCTCTCCCCCTAAGAATTCATTTGGCAGATGGGAAATACAAACCATTTTTCATGTCTAAGAAGCAGTTTAATTTAAACTATTCTATTATATATATATATACACATACATACACACCCTCTCAGAAGGATATGAGGAACAACTGCAGCACCCTTCTCAAAAAAAAAATACATTTTAAAGTGGTTTTCCAAGTAAAAGCTACAGTAAAATAGGAAGGGCATCATCTTAGCCTAGGGGGCTGGGGGTGTTTACATAAAGCAAAAAGCAAGATTCCTTTTCCCCTGGTGGCAGTTAAGCCTTGGATTTTTATTTTTTATTTAGCATTCTTTTTTCATGCTACATTTAAACCAGCCATTTCAGACTGAGTCTGGAGGCTGCCGCCGGGAATACTCTGCGAGGCCACCTGAAATCTGAATCAGTATCTCAGCAAAGAACCAGAAAACACTTTCCAGCAGACAGAAAGTCAGATTTCTGCCATAGTCCAGGATCAAAATTGGTTTCAACAACTTCCAGGGGGTGAAAAACAAATTTTTTCCTTTTTTTTTTTTTTTTAATAAAAATAAGCTCTTTCAATGAGCTTGATAAAACTTTTTGTGAGAATTACAAAAAACCACCATTTTTTAGAATGTCTCCATGGTTTAAAAAGACAATTAGCTTTAGCATTAATTTAAATTTATTTGAAAAAAAATAGAAATAGCTATTTTATTGCTCAACCAAAAAAAAAAAAATGACAATTCATCACATTTACTTTGATTAAAAAAGGACTAAACTTTATTGACAAACTGCGGCAGACACTTTGACAAGTTTTAGCTACCTATTTAGGCAGACTTACACATGTAGCATTTAATTTTCAAGAACAAGAGTGGGAGGACAGTGTACAAATCCAATTAGGACTTTATCCTATGTACAAAGTGAAATTTTTCCTCTTTTTTTTTTTTTTTTTTCCAGCTGCAGTGTCCCTTTTTATGCAAAGCTAGTGTTGAGATACACTTGAACAAGTCACCGGGATTGCTGATATCGGCAATTTTGTCAGTTTTAAACTCGCACTGTATTAATCTGCCCCAAGCACTATAAAAAAAATGAGAAGACTGTAATTTTACAGAGTTCAGACCTACTCACGCAATACTCTGTTTTTCTAATAAACACTGGGCAATTAGAGCCATGCTTTAATTTGTTTGTTTTTTTTCCCCCTTAAAAGTTCTTCACATAGAACCAAACTAAGAACCCCTTTACACTGGAAAATCTGCTTCCCAAGCATCTCTCAACACCGCATTTTCGGGGCTAGATTTCAAAACCCACATAAGAAAAGTCAATTTTATAAACCTAATTTTTTTTTTTTTTTAAAGTCAATTACCTTTAAAAAAATGCTATTTAATTTGTTTGAGGATCCTTTGTATTAAAATTTAAACTTAAGATTCACCAGCAATCTGCTTTTAAGGAAAGTTTGACAGCTGAGGTTACTTTTAAACGGTGGCAGCTACTACCGTTACATTATCATTTTAATTCTTAAAAACAGCCCTGAATTTTGAAATGTAGCCTACTTTGGGATTCTGCAACTACAACTTTTATGGGTTCCTTAAAACCAAACTTAAAAGGTTAACAAAAACCTTTAATTTGATAACTGCTAAGCAAAGCATGTCACTTTTGGAAACTAACATTTTTAACTCAACTTTTTTTTTTTTTATTAAAAAAAAAGGTACAGTTGTGTTTATCTAAACAACAAAGAAAGAAAAGCCATCTAACACACTTTTAAAAAAAAATAATAAAAATTAAAGTCGGTCCTCTAAATCTATTTAACTCATTTTAAAATACTACGTACAGAAGCCAGAATGCAGGGTGAGGATGGAGTGGGAGAAAAAGGGCCACGAAGAAAAACAGTTAGACAATTACTTGTCTGGTGTGGGTAAAGCAACGGGAATCCCGGGAGATACAAGAATCAGTAACAACTGTTTGCTCATAACTGATATTTTTCCCTCATGTTTGTGTTTTGTTTGTTTTTGTTTAATAACGTCCGTATGGGTGCTCTCTGTAGGCCCCCTTCACTGGCCTGGCCGGAGGGGCCTTCAGGGAGGGCCGGGTCCCGTTCCAGTCGTCTTGCCCTGCGGAAAAGAGAGGGATAAGTCAAGGATGAGGAGGGCTCCAGCCAAGGGACGGACGGGATCCCCCTCCGGAGCTGACGGGGCATCTTCACCATGTTTTCACCCCAAAACCAGTCTGCAAACACCCCGTGGTCCACCAAAACCCCTCCTTTGCAGCCCAGATTCTAATATTAAGGGAAATTCCCGGGCGGGGATTCCCAGGAAACCAGCAGCTCTGACAGCCCGACTTGGACAAACCCAGTGCCTTTTAGGAGTAATTAATTTCAGCAGAGTCAAAGCCAATTGACGGGGCAGCTCTGGCAGCCAGCCACGGCCAAGGTGGCAGCGGCCACGGCCCCTCGGGCTGGTGGCCAGAGGCATCTACAAGCCCCGGGTCTGGCCGGGGGCACCGCGACAGGTACCGCTTCTCCTTTCCAGATGCCAGGTAAGGCTGCTCCTGGGTAATTGTGCCAAAATAATGAACTCCCGATGCTGCTCCAGGATGGCAGTGCATCCGACTGAGCTGCTTCTCTGGGGAAAGGCTGAGGGACTTGAGCCTTTTTAGTCTGGAGAAGAGAAGGCTGAGGGGGGATCTGATCAACACCTATAAATGCTTAAAGGGTGGGTGTCAGGAGGATGGGGCTGGCCTTTTCTCAGTGGTGCCCAGTGACAGGACAAGAGGTTCTTCACTTTGAGGGTGGCAGAGCCCTGGAAGAGGCTGCCCAGGGAGGTGGTGGAGTCTCCTTCTCTGGAGACATTCCAAACCCCCCGGACACGTTCCTGTGCAACCTGCTCTGGGTGGACCTGCTCTGGCAGGGGGTTGGAGGAGATGATCTCCAGAGGTCCCTTCCAACCCCGTATCATTCTGTAATTCTGACTGTGACTTGTTCCTTCCTCTCCATGACTACCAGGAAAATTCCATCCATCACTGGCGCATCATCTGCTCTCCTCATGGGAGCAGATAGTGCTGTTAGTGCTGCACCAGCATCACCCACTGATGGGACAAACCCCTTGGGGCAGGATGGGAAAAGCCCTTCTGCTGTGTACAAGCACCACCAAAGGCAAATGAAGCTCGCATCCCCATTGTCCCCAAGCAAGCCCAAGCCCCAAATACCCAAGCTCAGCTTTCATTACTCCTTGTGCCTGCAACGCTCATCCCTGTCCTTCTTTCCAGGGTCACCCGTCAGTGAAGGCGAGTGTCCGAAGCCCGGAAACCAGCCCAGCCTGTTCCTACCACCACTGGAGCACATTCTCATTTTCTCAAAACTGTCTCCAGCCTGGCTCAACAATTTATTTCTCTAATTCTGTTTTCATGAAAGCAGAGACCAAAGGAAATTACTGTGGATAAACAGATTAGCCGTGGCAACTTCATGCCAAGGATACAATGAGCATTTTGGCCTTCATATCCCAGACGACACCACCGCTCTCCTACCAAGTAGGAGGCACAAAAGCCTCTTTGTGCTGCGTGACTAACGCAGGCAACAAACCCAGCCATTGAAGGCAGGGAAGGCAGACACGTTCCTGACAGCGGCTGTCTGTCCAAATGCCTCTTAGACTGGAAAAGCATCCCCAGTTGAGCACCTGAATTTGAACTCGGCACAACGTGAAGCCCAGAGCAGGGAACCCCCCAAGGCAAGAGACGGTCATTCATTAACAGCTCCGCTTCCCCAGTACCAGCAATGACAGGGCACAGGGGATCCCCAGTTCCTGAGGAGCCCAGAAAGTCCCTCCAGCTGGGAATTATCGTTGCTACCTGCTTTCATTCATGCCTTCAGGCAACCGGTGCTCTCTGCTAAAGGAGTTATTTTCATCAGGGCGTATTTCCATGCCATTAAGCAGCTCGCTCTATAGCTCCGGTAACTGTTTATAGTTCAGCTTGTTTATAGAGAGAGGAAAATGAATCTTACTCATTGCCACATGCAGATGCCATTCATAAGCTGAAAGCTGAACTAGCTTTAAAAAAGAAAAACAACCACCACGCAGTCACCCAATCCTTCACTGCTGGCACCTCGGATATAAGGCCTATTGTTTTCAACAGTTGGTGATTTACACAGTTGTGGTTAAATTGGTCTCCCACACCTCCCAGTCCAGCCCAAGTCGATAGCCTTACGCAGTTCAAATTAGCTAAACTTCATTGACTACTTACATCTTGACCAAAATTGTTCCACCTAGTCAAAGGGAGGCCTTCATATGACATTTAAATCCATTTTTCAAGCCAGTGTATAGCACCAAGTCAGTACCAGCTAGTGGGTTTTTGAGGATAAGGAAGCAGATGGAACCATGCACTCATCCAGCTCAACAAAATATAATCTGTGAAAACCAGACTGCGGCAAAGGTAGTGCTGTGGGTGGAAATTCAGAGCTCTTAAAATATTCTAAAGCTACAAGGAAATTAAAAGATATTTCCATAGTTAAAAAATGGAATTTTAAAAGTGTCACCTTTAGAAACAATCAAGCTAAATAAGAGTCTAAAAGCTACAGAATGCCCTCGGTTGTTCCGACCTGGATAATCTGTAGGGTACAAATACCCCACCCTGAGAACTACTCGAGGTTCTCCTCAGGAAGTTTTGCTCAGAGCATGGAGCGGTGCTGGAAAACACAAGCAATTCCCAACTACGTGCAGCCCCTTCCCTGTGAGGAGAACGGTATTCTCAGACTTACCATAAGCTTCATAGGTTTCCTGTGCCTCCCCGTGTCCATAATCATAGTATTCTGTGTCCCTGGAAGAGGAATTCTGTTGGTTACATACAGTGCTGAAATCACATTCCTAAACCAACACCACTTGCACACTTGAAAAGCAAAGATGCCCAATGTCATTCCTGGCTGTTAAGAACACCAGGAAACTCCCAAAAAGTTATTTCCCAGGCGCTCCTGGATTCCAGCAGAACAAGGCACCTTCCCTACATCTCAAACTCAGTCCCTTAAAAGAAAAAAAACCAAAAAAGATCATGCATGATTTTCTCCGTAGCAGACAGGAGATGAGACAACTTACCCTTGGCCCTGGCTGTAGTAGCCTTCATACCCCTCATAGCTCTGGTCTGCGTATGCGTCATCGTAGCCCTGAAATGGATGATGACACACGCGGTGTTAACGGAAGGACCAAAGGTTAATGCCTCGTCAAGACGAACGGCAAAACTGAATTCAGGCTGTGGCAGCTTTCAGAGGAGCCTGTGAATCCCCGCCTGCCCCAGGGAAGGGGCTCAGCCATGAGACACGGGTAGCCAAGACCTGCCGGTGTCCTGTGGCTTGGGACAAATATTTACAATGCATTTGGAAGTCATTTACACATCCAAGGCTGCAGTTTGTCTGAGGTACAAATCCATGTGCCAGAAGGGCTGTTTACGGTGTTGTCTAAACCAGATTTAGAGGTTGACAAACCCCAACCCTATCAACTTCTGATTGGTTTCAGTGGGAAAATTGAGTTTTACAAAGAGGAGAAATGGACTTCTTAAAAGTATCCGTATTTGTGATGATTCCCAAAAATGCTGTTGTGCATCAAAACGAGTCAGTCATCACATATTTACTTAAAGGATTTTAATGGAAGTAAGAAACCTTTGGTGTTTCTTGCTCAAAGAATTCTCCTGCAGAAAGAGAATGTGATGTGAACTCCATCCATCTTTGGGATGTAGTTTTTCTACCATGCACTGATGGTTATGGCAACCTTCATTTTTGGGGGCACATTTCTGTTTTATAAAACCCACCCTTTATCCTGTATTTACCAGCTCCTTCCTTTGAGGGCTACAGAGGCAGAGCAGGTCACCCAGCACCGTACTAGTGACTGGTGGCCACTTCTCCAGGGCAATCTTACTCTTATTTTAATAATGTTGAATAGCTAATATACAAGGTGTCCCTGCCCATGGCAGGGGCGTTGGAACTTGATGATCTTTAAGGTCCCTCCCAACCTAAACCATTCTTTGAGTCTATAATCAGCTACCTGGAATAAAAAAACCCCACAACTCTAAGATATAAAATTTCTTACATATTCCTCATAGGTTTCTGGGGCGGGGGGAGGAGGAAGCGGTATTCTCTGGATGCCAGCTGCTCGTGCTCTGGGTGCAGGAGCCCCCCGTACTGCTGGGGGAGGAGGAACCCCGCGGGCTACTGCAGCTCCCCTGGCAATGGCCCCCCGCACCGGGGCTCCTCGCACCAGGGCCCCCCGAGGAGGAGGAGGGGGAGGCCCAACACCACGGCCCCTGGAAAGGAAATAAAAAGGATTGTGAAGGGCTCCTGGGGTGCTGCTCGCGTGCTGAGGGCTGTGCACGCGCTTCTTACACCTACTTTAAAAGGCAATAGCTTGATAAATAAATACAGCCACCATTAAGCCATGAATTCTTTACCAAGAATGAAAGCACAGGAATTATTAACATTGTCGTATTGCAGGACTTACAAAAACCTCTTCCGAGATGAGAACTCTACTGCATTAGATATTGCACAGAGGAAGAAATAAATCTGATACAGAGCTTCAGCCAAGTAATTTCTCAGAGTTCATTTTAAACCACCCTCTGTCACTAACCCACAACGACTGCCAGACCTCCAGCACTGGAAAGATCAATGATGAGATGAGCAGGGACACTTCTGGGCTAAACACTCGGAAGCAAAGACCTTCCCCATGGAGCAGGTAGCGAAGCAAGAACCATAGTAAAAGAGTTTTATCACCAATTTATCCCAATGGCAGAATGGCAATGGCAGAATAATGTCATCCTATAACTTCCAAGGGAAGGTCAGTTTAAATTGAAAATGCTTATTCTGCCGAAGGCTACAGAAGCCAACACAGCACATCTATCTACAGGGGATTTCATAGGCCAATTTCTGAAAGGTTACTTTATGAAGATACTGATTTCAGACATCCAAAATAACACAGAAGACATCCACTGTGCTAGATTACATCTCAAAACATACAAAACATTTGACGCCAGCGTACTAAAAGCGAGCCTGCGACACAAGGCTAGAAAGCGCTGGCCAAAAGCCATGGTCAAGGCCAACAGCTGATGTGCAAGAACAAGTAGCTTAACCTCGTCCAGCAGGACAAATCTGAGCACGGAACAGCATTTCCAGGTCTGTGCCTTTGGGAAAGGTACCTTGGAACAGGCGGAGGCGGCGGTGGAGCTGCTCCCCTTCCCCTCACAGGGACTCCTCGCCCGCGAGTTGGCTCCGGTACACCGTTGAGATAGGAGAGCTCCAAGAACTGCTCCTGACAGATATCATCCATCATATCCTAAAGAAGGGAAAGAGTCAACTCCACAGAACAGCTAACTCACCAGTCTGCACTCCTTGGTATTGCAGGCTACTGTGCTGCAATAAAAATAACCCCATAGTCCATAAATTAAGGTATTCTCATTATTTTTACTGGGATTTGCTCAGTAGGCAGCAGTGCACAGCTACCAGCTTTCTCCACATCTGCCAAGAAGGGCACACCACCTGCGTGTCCCAGAGCTACAGCTGCTCCCTGGGAAGAGGACCTTGCTCAGAGGGGTCTTGGAGGCATCTGATGATGTTCTGCATCCCAGGGAGGGCAGCAAGATTTATTTGCTGGAGAGTTCGGAGGTGAAGTCGGGGCAAGACCTATCTCACCTCGAGCACCTTGCAGCTCCCATTTAAAGGCACAAGGCTGGCAAGGAGCCCACGTAACAACCTACTACTGTGCTCCCGACACACCGAAGGAACAGGAGCAGATGCAGCCTGACAAAGAGCAAACTCCCATTGCAAATCCAGGCTGTCTCTTCAAATTCTTAGGAACGCAGTATGTGTGTTTTTTTTTTTTCATGGTTGCACTCCACACATTTTTATCGCCTCAGGGGACCGCGCTCCAGGAATTAGTACAGATCTCTGGTGACCCCACAGAAGTCATGGCACCCCTCCCCTCCGCACACAGCCAGCCTGGGCCTCGCACCGAGGATCTTCACGATGCCATGGCAACACTACAAAGCAAGGAGTCTCCTACCAGATGTGTCTTCACAGCACTGCTGGCTTCCACAGTGACTTCTCTGCCAATTTTCACAAGTTTAACACATTGTTTGAAGGCAGCGATAGATAAGACACTTTAAATAGCAAGGCTGTACGCTCGCTTTAGCAAGCGGAGGTTTTGTACATCCCAGGGGCTCCTTGAAGATGACCTCTTTCCTTCAAAGACACTTCTCATAGCAATCTCTCCTCCTCTCTGTGTCAGACTCACAGAAATCACACAGAACCCATACGCTTTTCCACACTTCCCGACTCCCCACCGCTCTCGGGTTCCACCCGCCCCTGGTGTTTCAGGCAGAACATCTGAGCTCCGAGTCTCAGCTGAGGACCGTGGTGCTGAGGACCATCCAGCTCTGCCTGCCAGGTCTCTGAACCACAGCCTGAGCCAGCCAGGAACAGGGACCACTGCCTGCTTCTTTCCCATTTTGTTGGTGGTTTTTTTTTTTTTCTTTCCCTAATTTATAAAGCAATACCATCATTTTAATAACATACAAAAGACTCCAAGTTCTGCAGCTCCCCACCTGGCACAAACCTGACCTAAAGTTGACCATAAAGGTTCACCAAGACATCCCCAAACAGGTAACAAGTGTCATCTGCATAAACACCTGATTAGCAAAGAGGTTCCTTCACATCACACACATCTAAAGCAGTAGAAATATTGATTTAAGAGATGTGTCTCAAACTGAGGAGGCAGTCACCCTCCTCATCCTCACCCCACTCTTTTAGAGCAGAGCAAACGTTCTGTACTTAATTTATTCCCAATTAAGTTTTCTAACAGATTCCTGTGCTGCAGCTCCAAGTCAGAGCATCCCATCCAAGCAGCCTCTTCCACGCCAGCCATGCCTAAAGTTCTTCTCCCACTAAAACTGACACCTGGAGCTGGACAAGCTCCTCAGCCACCCCAGTGTCCACAGCCACTACTGGGAGAGAAACCCCCAAGTGGTCTAGACAATTGCCCTGGAAATGTATGTCTTTCTAATTATGGTTAGGGGATTAATCATGCCTTCAAGCTTAATAGGGTCATCTAAAGCTGCCGCACACACTTAATTCTTCAGGTTCCCTCAACTACACCAATTCCTCCTCACTCCATGCAAATCTTCCCCATCCTCACAGCCAGAGTCCCAGCCCATCCACCTCCTTCAGAAAGGAGAGAACGTGAGTCTACGCACCGGAACGAGGAACTTCTTGACTTCTTCCATGGCGTGAGCCATCAGAGCATACGCTTCACAAGGGGGTCCAAACACTTCAATGAAGACATGCAAATCCATATTTAGATGAGCATATTTAGGATCTCCCCCTTTACGCAGCTCTTCCTCCTGAAAAAAAGCAGGTTAGAGATCACTAAAACTAAATAAGATGCAGAGAAATTATTTTTCTTTTGGAAGTCTTAACAAGAAGTGTCTGTAAAAGGATTCTGGCCATGCAGGGACTCAGATCATGGTGATGTACTGAGCACATGAGCACACGGTTTTATAAAAAGCCACATACAATCTACACCTTCCACCTTATTATAGCTGCCTTTTCAGGTGACTATGATATTTTTGTCAATGCACTGATGTCAGCCACCTTTTTTCCAGAAGTTTAAGCTTATGCAAGCAGTGTTCTTCCTCTTCTACACCACCTTTCTGCCCGTGGTGCTCTCTACCATCTAGTGAAGTCTAATGCCTCAAACTTGCTCTTTAACTCTACTCTTAGATACCTGGTACTCAGATGCTTTAAGAAACTACAAATAAGCTAGAAGTGTAAAAGCTTTTCATGCTGCTCAAGCAAGAAGCTGAATCAAGTTACAGCTCTGTTGACTGTTAACTCAGTTTTGGGAATAAGCAGGGGAAAAAAAAATTACAGAAAACCCCTCCTGGCACTTTGTGATTCACTAAATATTACCAGGAAGAAGATACTGCTCCGACATCTTCGCTGAACCATGAGAATTTAAGGATTTCAGAGGGAACAGCTGGAAAAAGGTTTTTGGTTGATTTCTTTCCTTTATTTTTTTCTTGAGGGGAAACATTCCTTTAGCGAATGACTTTTCATGGAGTAGCTGGGATTAATTCTTATTTTATAAACTTTGTGCTTCACCTTCTGTATAAATATCTCTGCATCCAAGGGTACAGGGTATCACAAGGTGACAGGTCTCGAAGTCATGCTCATAAAGAACACACCACCACTCTTCTGCCCCAATCAAGATCTCTCCCAACATGCACCAAACAATTTAGGAAGGGTGACTTCCTACTGCCTTTGCTTTTGGATTTTAATGGTTTAAACTTTTACAAAATGCTTTGAGAACCACTACTTCTCCCAGCAATAGAAAGGCATTCATTTATATGTATGTTTCCAAGGGTGATGCCCTCACCTTTGCTTTATCTCGCATTGAACCCTTCCCAAGCACAGATATCTTAGCACCGGTTTCTTCCTGAAGTCTCTTGATGGTGTTGCCTTGAGGTCCCAAAATCTTTCCAACGAAGTTGAACTGCAAATGAAGAAAAGAAAAAAATCAAAACAATTAGCTCCAGAGCTCAGCAGCCTTAACAAAAGCTTTTCCTAACATTACGCTGGCTGACAAAAAAAAAAATAATAATTTAGCCATTCCGTTTTCTCTTCTCCTCACCAAAAAATACAGACCAAAAAATGCACAGGAAAATTTATGTTCCAGAACATTCTTTTCATGAAAAGATGCTCCACCAGAAAAACAAGCTAAATTAACTCACATAAAGCGTTTAATTCTAACATCTACTCTCCAGTAGTTTTACAGGCAGCAAGCCTTAAGAGTTAAATGAGTTCTTAACTGTAAAACACAAAGCTCTACATATGAAAGTGTCTATTCTAGTAATAAAAGATCACAGCGATGCATCACCATTTAGCTTTATCCCAAGACATTCTAGAAATGTAATATATTAGAAATAAGATCCTGCAACCCTGCATAGGAAAAATTCCATAGCGATAGTGGAACACTGGCATAACTCCTGAGGACGCTTTGACAGCCACTATCTCGAAGAGTCAGCCATAAAATCCATAGAAAATAAGCAAATGGCAGAGATTCAGTAAGCTATTTTCTGGCCCTCACCTTGGGGTACTGTTTGACAGGTATCAGAACTCGTTCTTTCAGTTTCATATTCTTGTGGGAAAATAAATCCAGGTAGTTCTCTTCCTCATCCTTCTTTGTTGTTTCCCCCTTCTGAATTTTTTCAATTTCTAAACAAGATAAAAATAGGGCTGCTTATATTCCTCAAACAAGCATCATTTTCGAGTTGGAATCATGACAGGACATACCACCCTCATTCTCTGTGAGCACAGGAACACTTATTGGTGCGTTATCACAGCCTGGGTAGCCAGCCCAGCTCTTAGTGCTAGCCCAGCTGGCCTCTGCCTCCCTTCACAGCTAGCCATTCCAGAAAGCCAAAAACAGGATAATGACCCACAGTAAGAAAGAACAGCAGGGAATGTCCTAGAAATAACGTCAACAGGTAAGAGTAGGAAGCTGTAAATAGTTTTGAGTATCTCTTCTGCTGTGCCTTCCTCCCCAGCAAACACAGCACCCACGTGTAGCCTCCTAAAGCTCCAAAGAAACCAGCCCCAACGGCTGGAGCCGCTCACAACAGATCAGGCAGGTCATTATCACTCAGGCTGAGGCACTATTTTAAGTCTGGAATTTAAGTAGTGGTGGCAACACACACTGACATAATGAACTTCAGTTAAGCTTCTGATTTTTTAATTGTATATTGTGAATTATAGAGCTTTGGAAAAACACTGAGGTGGCCTGACCGAGCTGCAGCCTGAGGGGGATCTGGAACAAAGTCCCAATAACCTTCTGGAAGTAGGTCGTTAAGGTAGGTCAGTTAGGAACTGGTACACGAACACCTTCTCAAACCTGGCTAGAAATTCAGCTTTCACTGAGAGATGGCAGGAGACCTCGTAATAGATGACCCAAATGCAGAAGACTGAGGATCATCTTCAAGGCAGGCATTTCTAGAACCGGTTCTCACAGCCATTAATGAACTTTCCTTCGTACAAGACAAACACCCAACATTTTTCAGAAGACTGTGGCCCGTCGCTGACCGGCTTTTCTTTTCCAGAGATGTGCAGTCACGCACAATTCTTATTTAATGGCCAACAATTAGATGACAAATTCCCCCAAATTTGGAGCAAATCCATTATTAACAATCCCCAATTACTGATGAACCATTATGCACACTTTGGTCCAACTAAAAAAGAATACTGGTGACACCACGCATAGCCCTCACAAATTATTAATTACAGATTCTTATCAGGGGAGGGGAGTGACCCTTCCTTAAAAGTTAAATTGCGCCATTTCATCAGCAAACCCAAGAACTATAAATATCTCTTCCGAGTCGAAAGTGCTCTAAATACGACTTCTCACATCTCAAGGGAAAGAGAGAGACTTTCACAAGATTATACACAGAAGTGGATTAAAGCTGCAAGCCAAAACTGAAAGCAAAGACTGCTTAGTCATTACCAGAATTTAAAGAGGGCAGCTGCAATATCTTGTGTGTCCTGTGATTTTCTGTTCATGTCAGACACTATATGTTCATGTTTAGAGTTTCGGAAGGTCAGTCAGATACCTGACATATTATTTCTACCTAGTAACAGTCTGGGATCATCCAAAGAGAAGTAGGAACGATGGGGTTACCATCATCCTGACTGGGCCAGCAACCCCAAGCCTCGCCGGCTGAGAAGCCCCACTGACATCTTTCAAAAGACCAGAAAAAAAGTCAAGAAATGGAATGTACAGCTTAAAAAACCCCACCCAAACCTTAAGAAAACACAATCAAATGATGAATATTTTAACCTTTCAGTTATGGACACAGTAATAGACACGGGGTTTTAGTTTAGAGATCTGAATATAGAAGTTGGAGATTGTGTTGCATAATTATGAAAAAAAAACCCACCCTAAATTTTGTATTTCTACTTGCAACAGCCCCTTGGCTCCTTTACAAAAGTGTTACCATGACTCCTTAGTTTAAAAAAAAAATAAATTACCGGATCTAATCACTTTGAAAAAGAGAGCTTGATTTTTGCTTTAAAAAGAAATGATTTTCTGAAGATGCTATGCCAAAGTAAAAAACTCCAGAAGTTCAAGCACAGTCAAATTTATAAAATAAGCAAAAGAGCTGGTTGTCTGGGTTAGTTTTACGTAGTTTTTTAATTTTAGCTATAAGAAGGAATCAGAGAATCAAGATTTGGAAACTAAAGATTGCACTTGTGGCCTTATCCCTGGTTAGGCACAGCTTTATAATACAATTACTTCTCAAATATTTTAGCTTTATCCAAAAAACAGTAAGTGAATTTCCGAAAAGACATTCTGCATCTTAACAAGAAGTGTTTTCTGCGTGCACATGGAGAAGAAAAGCACCCTAAAAACCGTCTTGATGTAAATTCAACTACCCAGAGGCATCTTCTACCCTGTCAAAACACGATGCCGTCAGCCCATGCCTCTGTGCAGCAGTGAATCACAGCTCGCAGCAGCCACCCAGCAAAATCCATCCCGCCTCCTGCCACGGCAGCTGGGAATGGGTCCGTGAGGACAACAAATAATTAACCATTTGCTAAAAAAAGCACCGGATCCATCATCACCGCGCCTCTGAATGAAACAGAAAACGCAGAAGAAGAGAAAGCCCTGAGTGGCAGAATAAATCCACCTTCTCCAGCTTTTGCAATGGAGCTCAGCGGGGGTGACCTAGGAGTCCCCTTCACACCTTCCCAACTGACTCCAAGGCTGGAAACAGGCGTGAAGAAGGACCTAAAACCAGGCCACTTGTGACGTGTCCTACTGCTCTGGATCCCGGCGTTATCTGTCGGCAGCCCTGGCACACGAGCTACGCGACACGCAGCGGTACCGAGTGACGTGAGGGGTGGCAGCAGCGTGTCAGACCACTTACTGATAGCAAGGAGAAGCACACGGATACCTCGAGGGATTAAGCATGCCTCATTTCAGTCCTGATTTTTTAAAGCCGTGTCAGAGGTGCAGCAGAAGGTTACCTTCTTGCCACGGGGAATGTCAGCAGGCGGGCGGCATGTGTGGCAGTGGTTTCCAAGGACTTCGTGTGGGGCAGTGATTGCATTGTCTCAGAAGAAATCCTAAGGGGTAGGTAAAGGGGGTTGGTAACACCGCCGCTTCACAAGGAGGAGGCTAAACAGCCACAGTGCTACTCCTGATCTAAGCCCAAGCTCTTCCTTAACAAAAAAAAATGTACTTATTAAACATTGCCCTGCAGCACACTCGCCCTCTGTAAGCAGAGACCCATTCTGTTCGCTCATGATACTGAGGGTAACGTTAGGATAACACTAACCCCGTGCCCAAAAATGAAACAAAAAGGAACAACCCCCAAAGAGTTTGGGGATGGGAACCTCTGGAAGGCAGGAGAGTTCCCTCTCCTCCTATGCTACCACTCCCCAGGGGGGTTTAAATTCACAGGAGAAAGGGCAGGGACCTGCTTGGGTGGACTCTGCCACCAGTGGAAGCTGCAGAATTTAACAAGCCTAACCCCACCGTTTCCCCCCCAGCTTTCTGCTGAAATACCCCCCAACACCCTCCAGCCTGGGATTTACAGCAGACAGCTCCGCTTCGGAGCTCGGCTGGGAAAGGAAGGGACTGGGCTGCCACCAGCACAGCGAGAAGGGGAAAGAGAGAAACACGGCTGAGGTGGGAGGAGAGAGAGAGGCCAGCGATGAGGAATGGCACAGGGAGCAGACAGTCCTAAGAGAGAAGCAGGAGGCGGCAGCGTCAGGGCAGTGACAGGCAGGTTGGCACCAGCCAATTAATAATGTTGGCATGGCTTAGCAATTTATACATCTAAAAAATGCAAGAGTGAAACGGTATTAGCATATCACAGTCTGCGACATCTGGGCACAAATTTAAGGCGGTGGTTACAGCTCCTCTGGGGGCAGGGCACACACTCGGAAATGCAGAAATGTAGATAATCTTCCCCATTTCTGGACAGCCTTCACTCCACACTAAGCAAGCGGCTCGGGGTTACCAACAGTTTCCCATCACCCCCGTGACCCCGGCCCATCTCTAATCCCACTGTTTGGTTCCTTGGCGAGTGACTCCAGAGAGGACATCGCACTGCTCGGGGTTACCAACAGTTTCCCATCACCCTCGTGACCCCGGCCCATCTCTAATCCCACTGTTTGGTTCCTTGGCGAGTGACTCCAGAGAGGCCACCGTCCCTCCATCTGACTTTCCCATACAGCCCTAGGGATACACAGAGACCAAAGGCATCTGGCAGAAGCACCAGCACATTCAGATTCTAATTGGATATTAGGAAAAATTTTGACACGGGAAGGGTTATTAAGCCTTGGGATGGGCTGCCCAGGGAAGTGGTTGAGGCACCATCCCTGGAGGTGTTCAGAAGACAGGTTGACATAGTGCTTAGAGACACGGTTTAGTGATGGGTTTCATCAGAGTTGGGTTGATGGTTGGACTACATGATCTAAAGGTTCCTTCCAACCTGGACAATTTTATGTCCTCCAGCATCTCAGGCTGCTCCCCGTTTTGCAACGCCTTGCAACTCTAGGACAAGAGGAAATGGGCACAAACTTGAACATAAGAAGTTCCACCTAAACACAAGGAGGAACTTCTTTATTTTGAGGGTGGCAGAGCCCTGGCAGAGGCTGCCCAGGGAGGTGGTGGAGTCTCCTTCTCTGGAGACATTCAAAACCCGCCTGGACACGTTCCTGTGTGACCTGCCCTGGGTGGACCTGCTCTGGCAGGGGGTTGGAGGAGATGATCTCCAGAGGTCCCTGCCAACCCCATGGGATTCTGTGATTCTGCTCTGTCTCCAATTGCTCGGTGATCCCTCCCTTCACGGGTCCTGCATCTAATATCCTTCACGTTGCTCTGAATCCACCCCTCACCACCCATCCCTGTCCCTCCTCACCTCTGGGGATGTGAAGGGCTGAATATAACACAAGAGCAGACTAGATGCTGGGCTATAGAGAGACTCGCTAAAGGAATGCCCCAGCTCACATAACTGTCTGCAGCACAGGAAGCTCAGAGAAGACCAGCTCTTTTCACACAGAGCTTCTCCGTGAAATAAAAATAGCAAAGATTACCACAAGAATTTGAAAAAAAAAAAAAAAAAGCAACCAACAAACCACCCCATGGCTAGCTAAGGGATTGGGGGATGTCTCCTGTCCTCCCAGAGTGCACAAGCAGGGAGGATTGTGCCTTTTAAAACACCAGCGTCTCCCCCTGCCCTCCCCACAGCAGACGGGGGGTAGAAATCCAAGTGAGGAAAAGGGGTTTTCTTGTTCTTATGGAAGAGGAAAAAATCACACAGTCCCCACAGCACAGGAGTGAGGAAACGTGGATCAGACTCCAAGGGGCAAGAAATCCTGGTTTTCAATTCCTGTTCAGGGCACTGTGTACCAGAACCCCAAAATTTCCCCACTTTACTACCTTCTCATCACACAGTGCATTGTTCCAGAATCAGGATGACATCACTGTGTTGCTCTTCATTTTGCTCCTAAATAACACTGAGTTTTCTCTAGAAAGCCCAAGCAGCTTCAGAACCACAGAAGCATTTTAGACTCCTTCTACAGATTGCTTTTAAAGAATCCATCTTTCAGTTTCAATGCAGAACTCCTGCAGGGTTCCCTCCCAGAGGCAGGCAGGGCAAGGAACTTCCATTCCTGAAAAAAAGGCTGGAATAGGAGTACTGCTGACATTCAATAATGTTATTTGTCTGGAAGTCATTTTGCTTAAGTTGTGCTGGCCGTTTGCGTTACGATCTTTGGCCCACGCCTAAACTCTGATTTTTGCAGCAGCTTCTCCAACACGACATCCCCAAAGGGTGCCACAGCAGGAGAGAAATTCTGAGCGATCCAGATCAGCATGGAGTCATCTGTGCAAAAAGATTTAGTCTCCTAAAACCACTGGTTTCTTTCAAATTCTTTCTCATGAGCTTCTTGCTCAGATCATCCCAAATTTGGGCTGCAAGAGAATGCTCCCAAAGGACAGCGATTACCAAAATCTCCAAAGCAAGCAGGAAGCATCTGGAACTCCTCCAATGATCAATTTTAAGTCTCACAAAGCTGCAGTCTATTATCAGCAATTTTTAAATTAATGAAAAAACCCTCATAAATCCTCGTTACGCCACTCAGTGAATGAAACTTTACTAAGTGGACTGAGAACGTTGTTTCTTTGTGGGGGAATTAGCAAACTCCTTATGTCTCATCGCTCTGGAAGGTGTTATCACCGAGCTGTCGAGCATCAGCTGGCTAAAGGGGTTTATTAATGAAAAACATTAAATTGACAGCAAATCGGATTATATAAAACTAATTTATTTAGATCAAGATAACCACGAGTGATGCCGTGACCACGTCCCTCAGTTACTTGCACAATGGGAGACAGTAATTCCTACGAATTATTTCCTACGTTAAAGGAGGAGCTAATAAAATCTCTAGCACTGCAATATGATGGCAATATGATACGTTTTAAAGACCTTAAAAAAAATTAAATAAATCATCGTTTAAAAGCAGAATAAGTATCCAGAGAGCTCGGCACTCTGCTCATCTGCAGATTAAATCGAGTATATCCTCGCGCCGGGTCCCTCCCAGCTCTCCACTCCCGGCGTATAAAAGGGGTAGGAAATGATTTTCAACTGGTTCCAATTTCCAGGCTGACCTCGGAGGCTGGAGGCAGCCGAACGCCCCGGCTGGAGGCACCGGAGGCACCGGAGGCGGGTGCAGCAGCTGCACCGGGGAGAGACGGAGGAATCAGAGCGGGCAGGGGATTGGCCGGCGGGGCTGGGGAAGGAGAAGGCTGGTCTGGGCACAGAACAAAGACTGCCATTTCCATTCCCCCTTGGGGTTCATCAGAAGCACGAAACAAGCTCTAACGCAGATTTACCAGAGCGGGGGGAAAAGAAATAATAAATAAATCAAAGAGGTCACAAACCCTGCCTCCAGCAGACGCTACATGGAAACCCCCCCCAGTTTTTAGCGTTCTCCTGGCTCCCCTCTCTCCCCAGGGACGGAAAGGGCCGGGGGCACCGCACACCCTACGGGGGAAAAGCAAGTTCTGGCTCCGCGGGATTACGCGGGGGGCTGCACCCCGGGAGTTACCGGGAGAACGATCTGATCTTCAAACCCCCCGGGGTCGCACCTCGCACCGGAGCCAGAACGGCCCGCCGCACCGCCCGCCGCCCCCCCGGGCCCGCAAGGGAGGGAGGAAGGCCCGTCCCGGGGGTCCCGCCCTGCCCAGCCCCGGTACCTGCAGTGAGGAGCTGCATGGCGTGCGTGAAGGACGGGTCGAGGCTGTCCTTCTCGGCCATCAGCTCGGGCAGGTACTTGTTCTCGGGCTCCATCTTGCCAGCGGACCCCGGTAACAGCGGGGTGGGGGCGGCACCGGCGGCCTGACCCCCGGAACCGCCGCCCGTAGAGCTTGGCGGCAGGAGGGGCGGCGGTTGCGCCCCCCCGGCGGCTCCGCGGCCCCCCCCGCCGCCGCCG